CACACACACACACACACACACACACACACACACACACACACACACACACACACACACACACGGAGGCTTTCCAGTAGTCTAAGGGTTACAGTAGCTCCTAATGTGAATTCCCTTCTGAATTAAAGGGAAAAATTAAGAGGAAAGTTTGCTTACACACATAATTTTTAAAAAAAGCACTCGAAGAAAATACAGAAATGAGAGACATGTGGGACTAAAGTGTTTTACAGCAGCTCATAGTACTGCTTCTCTGGCGCGTATGTTTACATATGTCCGTGTGTGTTTGTGTGTGTGTGTGTGTGTGTGTGTGCTTCATAGTCGTACATAGCTCTTTCCCCAGGAGTAAACTGGGGTCAAACCAGTTAGTGTTGTCACGGCAATTTGCAGTTAGGCCTCTGCGTGTTTGTTTGCACAGTTTTTTTTGTACGTTTTTATGAATTTGCAGTATGTGTGTAGCCAAACATGCATGTGTGTTTTTACTGTATGTGTGTGTGTGAATGATGTGTTTGTCTGCCAGTGTGTGTGTGTGTGTGTGTGTGTGTGTGTAACACAGTAAGCTGCCCTCAGGCTGATATATATTCTTTTCACTCAAACAGCCCATTTACAGTTCTGGGGTCGGCTCCCTCTCGCTCTGCCGTGACCCGGACTGTTTAGAGGTCATCGTCAAAGCTGAACTCGGGTCAGATCGCTAACTGACTCCAGCTCCGCTCCTCTGGGGTTTACTGACAGCCAGGCTGCTCAAACTGTGGCGAGAGGGCCCGGAAATGGGCTGTACGGCTTCTTCTAGTGGGTCCGAGTGGAACAAACTGAGCTAAAATGTTTTTCTGAAGGCTATGCAGCGAGAAATCTGGACAACTTGTAAAGAGTAGCAAGTCAAGTTTAGCATCCACTGCTAAACGCTAATTCCTTTGATAATTCTGTGCTCCATTTCCTCAATATCAGCTGTCATTGTTGGTCTTCCCCCTCTGATAGCATCGACCAAGGATGACATAGTTGTGATACTAGTCAAGATAACATAAAACGACAGGCCACATTTCAACAAAACTCGTTGAAAGGCTGAAGATGGGGGAAGGACGAACCCATCAAATGTTGGAGCAGATTTGAGTAAAGAGGGCGAATACACAAATGATTGTTGGGATGTCATGGCCTTGTTGTGCCTTGGCTTCCTTTCTTGGGTTGTCTATAAATACAAGTGGAGTTCCTGTCCCCTGCTATCATTCATTTGGTACTTTTGATTGACGTCTAAACGGAGGCTGCAATCGATCAGGGAACACATCTAAATCTGATCCTATATTCCTTTCCTATCTTGATGCCATATCACATTTACTGTACTTGAAGTTGTTTGGAGAACCTTTGTCCTGACCTCTTCATTGGTCGATGTTAAATCTGAACTCAGATCAGGTCCTGAAGGCATGCTGAATGAGCTTTCATTGAATTAACCTGGTGTTTATACGGGGCTTCTTAAACATCTGCAGTTCTGTTGGGAACATCAGTAACTTTTAGCATGTGGGGGCTCAGCAGAAAACGTCTGTTTGGGCCCCAAACCACAGAGAGAGAAAATACTTTCTGAGAGCTTTTAGAGGTGAAGATCAAAGCTGGGGAGAAGGTCAGGTCCTAAAGGCTCCTTTAAATTAATAGCAAGCGTTAAAAATCAGTCGTAAGAATTGCTGCAGAGCTTAAACTTGAAAGGTTTTGGTCACTTTTCTGTCTGGTTCGCAAAATACCGTTGGCGTCATTTGGCGGCTTGTAGAGCGAGTTTTAGTAAGATGTGATGGGAAGAAAGAGGAGAATGATGATGATGATGATGATGATGATTGTCTAGCTTTACAAAGCATCCTTAAAAAGGAACAGAAAGCAAAAGCAAGCAGACCTCGGAGAAGTCCTTCTTTTACACACTTCTGGCACGTTTTTCCTGATTCCAATTGAGCAAAAGAAAGGTCAAGATCAAGACATCGAATCATTTGTAAGGAGATGATTGGGATCTCCATTTACCGAAGGGATAAGAAAAGTGTTTCTCTAACGTCAGCTGAAGTGTTTGGGGATTTCCTCTCACACCTTTTCTCTGCTGGTAAAGGGAAATTCCACCTTTCAGCAAAACTCATATCATTTCCTTAAAGTCTTACTCAACCCAAGCATCCTTTACAAGCAACTCATCGCTTCCTTAAAGCTTCCAAGACTTAATTGTGTATCTTCTCGTGTAAATACAGACTTTTATGAAGTGAATAAGCCGTATGAATGACAGTAATTCGTATCAGACTTTGTGGGATTAAAGATTGAAAAAATGGAGATCTGAATACCAGAAATCAATTGACGATGAAGCTACTTTTGGTCTCGATAATTAACCCTCCCACACTCACACTTAGTAGATTAGTAATCAAACCCTCAATCTCTTTAAAAATGTTACATGTTGACATTTTAACGTCATCTCCGTCTATCGTTTTGGTTTGCATTAATAATTCGTTAGTCTTTTATCCCAGTGACCAGTGACTGATAACCTTTCTACCCTCTTCACGTTAATATGTATCCAGTTGAAACTGTCTCCGAAAGTTATTTTTACCCCACATCTCTTGAATAATCCAGCACTTCTTTGTACTCGTTGAAACCCTTTCAACTCAACGATTAATATTCACGTCTTCTCTCCGCCTAGGGTTCGGGTTTCCATTCGTCACGGAGGCAGAAGTACGGCAACGTGTTCAAGACCCATCTGCTGGGCCGGCCTCTGATCCGAGTGACGGGTGCAGAGAACGTGCGTAAAATTCTGATGGGCGAACACACGCTGGTGACCACGGACTGGCCTCAGAGCACCGCCACGCTGCTGGGACCAAACTCTCTGGCCAACAGCATCGGAGACATCCACCGCAAGAGGAGGAAGGTCAGGAAACAACCAGATTATCAAATACACACACATGCACACGCTGAGATTGTCGTTTCTTCAAAGGGTTAGGGTAAAAATTGTATTAATACGATACGGTAATACTTCAATGGTCAAATCAAGTTAGAAATGTCAACGCATTTCATGAATGAATGAACGCTTCAAAAGGCCTTTAGAACTCATATTCGACTGATCCTTTGATCGAAAATCATCCATGTAGGGTTCAAAGATATATCGAGCAAAGTTTAAATCTTGCACACGCTGGGAGTGGTTTTTCTTACGAGGGTTAGGGTACACATGGTATCAAGCGTCTTCTTTGACGAGCATTTCATGAATGAATGAAAGATCGTTGTTTCCCCTAGAAGTCATATTCCACTGATCCTTAGATACTCAAATACACACGTTGGGATTGGTGTTTCTTACGAGGGGACGGGAAGAGAATTAAGCATTTGTTGAATGAATGAATGAACCCTTCAAAAGGTCGTTCTTTACTGTCGAAGTCAGGCCAATTCTTACTGGGTATATCCCACTGATCCTTTGATCGAGAATCATCCATGTTCGTTTCAAAGACAGATCGAACAACGTTTAAATCTTGGTCTTTTTTTATTCGATACAAACACAACGGTATTTGCGCACAAATTCCGTATAATGTTTCCGCACCATTATACGTTTTGAAGCTTATTTATCATAAAGTTTGTAGTTATTAAGACGCACTAGATACCATATACTGTGGAACATTTCACAGAAATCGATTTTGTTTTGAAGACGCTATGTAACGTACAGTTGAGACAGATACAAAAACACAGACACGCCAACACACACATGCACTTAGATAAAGGCGTCCACTGTCAAAAGCACTGGAGTCTTCTGCTACACAACGAGGTAGGACACACACACACACACACACACACACACACACACACACACACACACACACACACACACACACACACACACACACACACACACACACAGAAAGAGAGTATCAGTGTAAAGCTATACCGTCTTATCAGCAGCGTCCTGGCTACTGAAGCGTGAGAACGGACCCTCCATCTCTCCCTTTCTCCCCTCATTTACATGGAGGGAGAGAGAATCACCCGCCATTTTCCTTTTTTAGCTTCTTATCTCCACCGCCTTTTCCTAATTCCTCTGATATTCTGACTATAATATACATATCTCTCTTTCTTTATTTACTTCTCAGTCTTTTCTCGAGAGCCTTTTTTGACCTCATGTCTTTCTTTGCTTCCTTTTGCTGTCTCTCTTTTCCGTGCCAGGACCATTTCAGGTAATCAGCCACTTACCTCTCCCTCCTATTATCCGTTATCCCCGGGGCACATACCTTCCCTAACTCTCTCTCTCTCTCTCTCTTTCCCCCCNNCCCCCCCACACACACACACACACATTTGAAGCACGTACACACCAAGTCACAGATGAACACACCCATACAAATGTCAGAAACGTTAGTGTGAGTCAGTCTGTAGTTTGTCTCTCTCAGCAGGGAGGAGAGAGGAAGGCGGGAGATTATTATTATTATTAATATCTTTTTTTTTTGCCTGTGGAAAGTGAGGGGTCGGCTGGGTCTAATCTAGGCTCTGATCCCCTCTCCTCTCTGGAGACCCCCGCACTAACCTCATGTAATGACCCCTGATTAGGAAGGCTGCCTCCAACACAGCACAAAGAGGGGCTTTCTGTGGGGGCCCAACACACACACACACACACACACACACACACACACACACACACACACACACACACACACACACACACACACACACACACACACACACACACACACACACAGAAAAGCATAGTATGTGCACACACCTGAACGTCCACTGCTCTCAACCCNCACACACTACACTACGTACTA